TGACGTGGAGACTGTCCGACTGTTTGGCTCCGTGTCAAAGCCTTATGTGACAGGGATAGAGAGCCCTAATAAGAGAGACCTAAAAGTAGCCCTCTAACCAGGATTTCAGGTCAAGCACTATGGTGGGGGGTCGGGTCTGAGTTTAATCGGGCACTCGGTCTTTGGTCTCGAGGAGCCCTCCAGCCCTTCATCGGGCCTCCTCAAGCAAAGTCCGTGACCGATTAGAGGTCACTAGCTGAGACGTGACCACCAACCACTGTTTCAGGGACCCAGACCAATGCAAATCGTGCCCTCGCCGGCCTTCCTCCTTCTTAGCAAATGGGTTTCCAGGGTTAGGTTTAGACTGACAGGGCGCGAACTGTTCCGTGTTCGTGGTCTTTGGCCAAGTTAGATACCCGCATTGTCTCGGGGGACCTCAAACGGTTCAAGAGGATCTCTGAGTGATATTTCAGATCACGACCCTACGGGCCGCGATTCTTTATGTGAACTACAGCCAATCCTTCGTGTCCTTATGCTCTCCAACCGAGACTTTGATAGTCCATTCCGTTGAGCCGCCCAGACCCCTGTTCGGGCCTCATCGAGCACTGCCCTTGGTCGCCACGGGGCCCATTGCGAGCAAAAGACCCTCTGTTGGGAGTTGTTGGCCCCTGATAGATACAGGGACACCGACCAGTGTAAATCACGGGTCCCGGCTCTGTAGTTGATTGAGAAGTGGGCCCTTAGGCCCATACCGATACAGAGCGGACTGTGTGACGCTGATGATGCCTCAGCGACATATAGACCCATATCGACTCAGGGTGTTCCTGACCAGTGCAAAGGGCCCTCTGACTGTCATCTGAGGGTCCGTTCCCACAGCTCAAGGCCCCTGGATAAGACTCCGATCAGCCCTTTATGCTCTCATGTCCTCCAATCGACCTCCTAATCGTTGGACCCGATGGGTCCTCCAGGCTCTTCTGGCCTCCTCAAACACTGCCTCTGGCCGACTTGGTGCCCTTCGCCGGCGCAGCGCCCATGTTACACGCTGTGGGGCCCCGACCAATGTAAATTGCTGGCTCCGACTTTGTCCTTGTTTGGGAAATGGACCCTCAGGCTCATGACACCACGGAGCCGACTGTGCGTTACTAATGGTGTCTGACCGACTTAAAGGTCGTTATCGACTCAGGGGCCCCATATAAACGCGGAGGGTTCTTTGGTTGGCATTGAAGTGCCCAACCCTACGGGCCGAGTCCCCTGAATACAACCTCCGGTCGGCCTTAGCGGGCCTTTCGGGCTCTCAAATCAGGCCCTTAATCGTGTGTCCCGAGAGAGGGGGGGGGGGGGGATAGGCGCGTTCCCCTGTGCTCCCCTGTGCTTGCGCTGTAGTTTCAGAAGCAGAAGCGCATTCTAAAGCTTCCAAATGCTAGTGTTCTGCATTTAGGTGTGCCAACATGGGTCCTTTTCGGATTAGTGACAGCTCATTCTGAGCCTAAGATGGGGCCCATTCCCCTCCCCATTTTGAGTGTGAGATGGAATTGTTCCCCGCAAGTCTTTGCAGGACTGAAAGGGAATGCTTTCAGGTCTAAGAGCAAAAACTAAACCTTTCCGGACTTAGTCTTTGTCTTTTTTAGGCATGAAAAATGACACTTCATAGACTTCACGCGGGCCATTTCTGAGTTTAACCAGATATGGACCCATCCCGGACCTGAAAGATGAGAGACGCCTTTTCGGCACATGATATACTTACTTTAACAGTTTAAAGTTGATGACCCCCTGAATAATAAGGGCCCTTTTGAGCTAATGCGGCCTTTTTCAGACCTGAGAGGACGCTTTCTGAACCTCCCATCCTACTAAAAACGGGCCCTTCCCGAGGTTAGGATGGGCCTTTCCTGATTGGAGATGGGTCCATTCCAGACCTAAATTTACATGGCCGTTTCTGATCTGGAAATGGGCTCTTTTCAGATCTACGACGGTCCCACCATAAGTTGAAGGCGGGGCGCAGGCCGGGAGTTTGTTTCCCCTTTGCTTGTTTATTTGAGCATGTTTCCCCTTTGGTCCAGACTGACTTTTAGGGCTCCTCGGGACCGACGATCAAGGGTCCGATTAGAGGGCCCGAAGAGCTGGTCAGAAACTGCATAAAGGGACCTGGGCCTGCAAATGCCCATCAGAGGGCCACTTGCGCCAATTGGGGTCCGTGGGAGCAATGACGGTCCGCCAGTCAATCCGCAACCACGAATTTCGAACTGTTTGCGCCGTGTTGGTCGGGGGCTCAGTTCCAAACCTGGGACCATTCTGGGCCCGCCATTATCCGTTAGAGGACCCTTTGAATTGGTCGAGGTCCCTGAGGCAATGAGGGTCAGCTATGTTTGTCAGATGGGCCACAGTACAGTACGCCCTATGCCGGCAAGGACCCCGAGTCGGCCATAGTTTCATTTTCTGAGTGGAGGCAGGAATGTGACCGCAAACGTCAGGGAGCCTCTTAAGTTGACCGGGTCCGATGCCAATGAAATGAAATCGGATAAATGACAATAAAAGGGTTCATAATGAGACAGTGAAAGGACCCTGCATCGAACACGGGCCGAAGGAAGAACGAGGCCCGGAATCTCTACCCTGTTGAGGTTAGGGGCCCGCTAAACCGAACTAGAGTCATCTGCCAATTACTGGACCCCCTGTAAGCAATCCTTTGATAAGCGGTGAGGAAAGCGATCCTTCGGCGTCAGTGGGGCCCCTGCGTGGATTCGGGATTAACAACTACGGTCTGAGGGTCTTCTGCGTCAGGGAGCGGACCGACGTATGACACATCCCTCAGCGGCCCTCCTGATCAACCAGGGGGCCCCGGCCACCGTGTCTCCGGGACGGTAACCGGAAAGTACCCCTGGTGGTGGCTTGGAACGGAAATCCCCTTCAACCCCTGACCAGAAAAGGTAATGGAGCCATCTGGTGTTCTACTAACGGGATTCACTGTCCACGAAAGGTAAGGGTCTCCTTAGTGTTCAATCCACTGGGCCTCTCAACGAACGCATTCGTCGGCAGGACGATAACAAATGAAGAAAGCTGAGGCCCCTCGAAAAAAAACACGGGCCAAATCTGATAATTTCTCGCGATGCCTTTTCACCAGGAGCCCTTTATCAAGCTGTGTGCCGCCTCCGCCTCTTCTTACCAAAACTTTGGCCTCTCCACTGATATAAGATGGAGCTTGTAGGATCTGAGATAGACTCTTTTTGCCTTAAGTGTTTACAAGGGCCCTTTCCGGACCTGATATATCCGCTTTCTCAACCTAAAATGTGCCATTTCATGATTAAAGAAGGGCCCCACTCGAGTCTACGGCGGGCCCTTTTTAGAACAGGGAAGACCCTTTCTGTGCTGACGATGGGCCCACCCAGACGCGAGACGGATCCCTTCTGAGTTTGCGATAGGCCTGTCCTGATCAGAGACGGGTCCTTTTAAGTCTACAATGGACCCTTTTCAAACCCGAAAAGTGCTCTTTCTATGCATAAAAATGCTATAGGGGTGTCCTGTCTTGACTGACCCCTTCCGGACCTGAAATGGGCTCTCTACGCTTACTTCGATGGCACACGATAAGTGAACATTTTCCACAAATCCGCCACGGGCCTCATTTGGGTCACCCGAAATATGGGGAAAGGATAGTTTTGGCCCTTACCTCATACATGGAGGACAGTTTGCCCCACGGATACACCGCCACTGGCTATCTGATCCTACGATAGGTCCACTCCAGGGCAGACGTAGGATCCTTCCTGGGCCCAAAAAGTGAGATAGGCCTTTACCGAGTATATAGCTCTCCGTTTCTCAGCCTTTGCTGGATCCCTATCTGACGTGAAACGAGTCATTTCCGAATTCATCCTGGACGCTTTGCAGACTTGAGAGGTTCCTCTCTGAGCATACGATGAGTCCTTTTCCCGCCCTAAGACGGGCTCTTTTTGTGCTTACGATCAGCCTTCTCCAGACCATAAAGGCGCCCCTACCGTGGCTAGAAGGGACATGAGTGTTTTCCTGTCCTGAAATGAGCCATTTCCTTTCTAAGATGGATCACTTGCTTTGTTATCATAGTAAGCAAGTATTAATGCATACCCTACGACCCCTTCTGGCCCATATGAAATAATGGAAGGAGGAAGGGGGGGGGGGCAAACAAATACTTTTGCCTTACCTCAAAAGATGGGGGCCTTCGGGCCCCTCGTCGGACCCACTCGAGCACTGCCCCTGGCCGACTTGGGGCTCCTTGCCAACACAGGACCCCCTGTTTAGCCCTTTGGGCCCCTGACCACCATAGGGAACCACGCAGCGACTCAGGGGCCGCGACCAATGTAAATCGCGGGGCCCCGGCCTTGCCCTTGCTATGGAAATGGACCCTCGGGCCACCACCGACACGGAGCCGATTGTTCGGTATTGGTGGTGCCTGACCGACATAGAGATCTTCATCGCGTCAGGGTTTTCAATCGGCGCAAAGAGCCTATGACTGTTTGCGCATTTAGTCAGAGGCCCGCAAATGTGCGTTTTGTGCATGTGGCTAAATGCACATTTGCGGGCCCGCCCCGGTGGGTCGAGCCCTTAATGCGACCTCCGGCAGCCCTTCGGGCACTCGGATCATGCCCTTGATCATCGGTCCTGAGGAGCCCGAAGAACCGAAAGGCCCCTATCGACAGACGATTCGTAGTAAGCGGAAGCAGACCCACGATTCAACTGTCTGCAGACGCAGCGCCTAAGGATTAAATCCACAGTGAAATGTTCATTAGACAAAGTCGTGGGGTCAGCACCATTTTGAATCGATTTTTCCATGTACCAGCACAGAAATAATGTTCAGCATTTTTGGAAAATGTGGAAGTGGGAAATGCACCTACGGAACCTCATTCCTGACCCTTGGTCGAGCCATATGGTTTGGTGGCCTCAGCCTGTATGCCCTGCCGCAGAGGCTGACTTACATGCAACAAAGTACTTCAATTTAGCTGACTCGTGCCTTTGTGCAAGTAGCAAACTGGTCCCAATGCGGCGTGCCGTTCGTTGACGATTGTGAACTAAGTTGCTTCGCTGGTGTGGTGTCTCGTGAATGAGGCTGTAGATGGGCGTTTAGTTCGAACGAAATGGTGGTTTTATGGCTTATGATGTAGAAGATCAGTGAAGCATTTTCGAATGACTTTTGATGTCAAAGGATGTAGGCAGCGGTTGGTGGTGGGAAGTCGATGTGCGCCAGTTCAAGCTTATTCCCGGTTTCGCCTTTTTGGTGTTCGTCGCGCGGCATTGAGAGCGTAACCAACGCTGGGAGAAGAGTTGCAGTCATATATTTGCGAAGTAAAGCTCAAGAAGTTTATGTTTTTCTCCATTGTGACTGTAGTTATGGGAACAAGAATATGCCAAGATGAACTCATGAAATCTGACTGTCCCATATTGTCATCTGCAATGTTTTAGTTCATTTGTGCAGTGGATTTTCTCTGCTGATAATTATTAGTTGATTACTTTGTATCAGAAGCATATAAACACAAATTTCATCATGGATCTGGTGAAAGTGTTTAATGCTGAGGTAAGTCTTGATATTTTGATGTCATCGCCATGCCAGTGCGCAGACATTTGCATCATGCATCTTGCCCTGCTTGATCATGCCAATGGCAGTCTTTTTGAAATGAGCAGGAAACAGCATCCAGATGATCTCAGTTGTTAGAGCTTGGTTCTTATCATATATAATGTGGACTGTTGGTTCTGCTCCAGTATAGCCAAATGTGACAAATATTAAACATGGTGTGTGATGGTGGTTCAGACCATTACCTAAATGCTTACAATACAGTATTCTGTTAACCCTAACTCTGACCAGGTGATGAGGTGCTGTTCCTGATAAAAAGATCACAGTTCCTTTGATGATGGGGTGTACAAACTGCAGCCTTTCTTGGCTGTGTAAATCCCAGCCTTGGATAATTGATTTTTAAGATCATGCTGATCTTATTGCACTGTTAGCAATGCCTTTAAGAACTATCACAGTACTCGTGACTGATCTTACCTGCATGTCTTTGTTGGCAATGCCGGTGGTGATTTCATACAGTATTGGTAAATGGTACAGATACTCAAATTTCCAAGGGCATCCTGTGCTTTGGCTCACTGTAAATTTGTTGATTCTTGAATGTACTTATGCTTCACCCAGATTTATGCAGCCTAAGGTTTTATGAATCTGTTGATTTCTATGACAAGTTCTGTGAAAAGTGAAGTGGTGTAAATAGGTTTTTGCCTCTTCATTGTGGGCGCAAAATGACCACTGCGGTCAACACTGCCCGAAAACTCCAATGAACAACAACAACAAATGCCTCTTCATTGAGTTTTTGTACATAATCACCAAAGTAATCATCTTTGTCATTACATATAGCCTTGACCAGCATGATGCTTTTTATTAGGGTGCTTTCATTAATCTTCAATTGATGTTAGACTGGTTTGCTCTATGTGCATGCCAAGCTGCTAGGTTTGTGCTGGATCAGGACATTTTGGGGCATGTTTCTGTCAGAATAAGATATTACAAGCATGCATAGTGATTTACAGTGACATTATAAGTGTTTTAAATTATGCAAGACAGTCTGAAAGTCTGTGCTTCAAACCATTGGGTACTTTGGTCCATTTGAAAAGGGGGCTCCTACTAGATTTTCTCCATCCAGAAAATTTTCCCTCCACTCCCTCGCTATGTGATGCTCATTTGAGATGAAATCTCATGCTCTTATGATATGTATGACTTGTGTGTGCAAATTTAACATGTTGAAGTGAAATCTAATAGCTTTAGCATTTTTAACATCCAATTTTGTGGTTCCTGTATCCCAATCAAGTGCAGTTTATGATCACCAACAAAGTATCACAAACAAAAAATATAATACACTGCCTTTAAGTCACAACTTCAAAGATCTGAAGGCTTATATTGAGTAATCTATCACATGTCTACATTTTCCCAGCTCCTGGCTGAGTCCCCTCAAAGCTGGAGTCAGGCACAACATGAATTGTGTTAAATAATATTCCTGAATTGTGTTGGATCCATCACAACTGACTGGTCATGGGGTGAACAACAGCAACATGGGGCTGCTGCAACACACACTGCTATTGTTAGGGCCACAACAGCACCATTTGAGCTGGGGTGGTGTATCATGGTAGCAGGCAAGGCATGTCTGTTCACATGGTGATGTATGGGCACCATACAACCATAGTAGTCAGTGCACCCTTAAGCCCAAGTAATCATCAAACATGGCGATATCTTCATGGTGATTTGTCACCTTTGATGATGTTTTCATCACATTCCCTCAGATGTGTGAGGTAAGGGTTCTATTGACCTTCACAAAACTGATTCATAAGGCCAGAGTGAACCAATCTTTGAAGTGTATTAGCAGATGCCTTTCAATGCACAGAAGCATGGTCTTTGCCAAGTCCTTGTAGTGGCTTGTTTGGAATAAGCATTTGCATATTCTGTACCCTATAGAATAGTGCAGCTAGGTTTAGGTAAAGACACACAAGTTGATCTATAAATGCAATATTTATATTTACAGGTAAAAAAGTTATCTAATTTAACAGTGGTGGCAAGGATAGACATGCAGGAACCCAGGCATGATATAGGTATAAAGTAACAATAGGGAACAGGAGTCTTGAAACAGCCATTTTGGGACACTGGAATGCCACCCAGGAGATATAAGAGAGATAATGCATCACATCTCAGGCTGTTCAGAGGTATCTTCCTGTGCAAATGATGCATTACAATGTATTTTATTTGCACAGTTTCAAACTCCAGCTGAGATTTCTTGCCAGATCAGGTCTTTGATCTATGCCATTCTCTCAAGGCTTTGCATTGTGAAAACTTGAAAGGTCAGCACTTCTTTACTCACATGACATTGTTGGCCCTACATTGGCAGGAGTGTTCCTTTAGTGGCAGCACCATGAATGCCATCAGTGCTCATAAATTTTTCAAGGTCATTCAAGGTCAAGATTGAAGGTCAGATCTTAAAAAGATATTTGAAGTTGGAATGAGCTTTCATGTTAAGTTGTGAACTAAAGTCACCCCCATAGCCCAGGCAAAAGATGCTGGGGATCCAGGAAATCAATGATGGAGAGCTAGCATACAATTGCATTAGATGCTTCTCAGTGAAAATAAGTGCAAGAGATCTCTGATGGATTGATTGAGTCAGCTGGGTAACATGTGTGAATTAAGACAGCTTTCATTCCTGGAGCTATACATCTGAGGACCACAGTCCCAGGGTTGTCTCCCATCTCAAGCTGAGTCAGCTGGGTAACATGTGTGAATTGAGGCAGCTTTCATTCTTGGAGCTATACGTCTGAGGACCACAGTCCCAGGGTTGTCTCCCATCTCAAGCGAGTCAGCTGGGTAAATGTGTGAATTGAGGAAATATTCATTCTGGAGCTATATGGAGGACGCAGTCCAGGGTTTCTCCACATCTCAAGCCGAGTCAGCTGGGTAACATGTGTGAATTGAGGCAGCTTTCATTCTTGGAGCTATACATCTGAGGACCGCAGTTCCAGGGTTGTCTCCCATCTCAAGCCGAGTCAGCTGGGTAACATGTGTGAATTGAGGCAGCTTTCATTCTTGGAGCTATATGTCTGAGGACCGCAGTCCCAGGGTTGTCTCCCATCTCAAGCTGTTTTTGCAACAGTGCAAGTCTTAAAGCCCTCATGCCCCCAAGATAGTTTGTGAGCATTGCTTTCAGCTGTTGTCATTGTTGGTCAGTTTCAAGACCGTGTTCAGTTTAATGGAACTGCAAACATTAAGCTATGACAATGATATGAACTCCGTTCTGTCATTTGACCCAAACTGCAATGGTCATGGTGAATGTCATGAGAGCCAATCACAGTTTTTTTGAGTGTGTGACATAGCCTGTTTTAAATTTTCAGCTGACGTCGCTCTACGACCAGAAGCCACCAATATCAAAGGTGAAGATGACTTCACTCACCAAGGGAGCAATACGAGCCATCAAGTTCTACAAGCATGCAGTTCAAAGTGTCGAGAAGTTTCTGCAAAAGGTAGGCCAATCACATGCTGCACAATGCACTGTTGTCTGCTTACCTTCACTTTTTCAAGGCAGTCCACGTTGATGTTGAATTCTAGATGATTGCAGTGGGTAAAAATGTAAGTAACAGCTGAATTAAGCGGATGATCGCAGTAGTTAAATGCAGGGAGTCTAATCACGACTGATGTCACTGAAACATCAAATGCGCATTCTAGCACGTTCTTCACGCTGTGCCTACTCCGTGTGTTTTACCATGTCGTTCTATGTTCGTCCCCAGTGTCGGACAGAGTACAAAATCCCGGGGCTGTACGTGATCGACTCGATAGTGCGCCAGTCGCGGCACCAGTTCGGCGTCGACCGGGACGTGTTCGCGCCCAGGTTCGCCAAGAACCTCTCCGTCACCTTTTACCACATCTTCAAATGCCCTCCCGAGGACAAGGTAGGCTGGCATGATTAGGGCTGATGGCGTGGTTTTCGTCTGCTGTTGGAAAAATGTTCGCAGAGATACTATTTAGATGTCATATGTGCCATGTGCCGCGCTTTCGTGGCCGGCGACATCGCAGCCGTGGAGTTCACTGGCGCGCCAGCGCTCCGCGGAGTATGATAATAATGTGAATAAAATGATATAGATATGCTGTTCCGACCTGCATATGTAATGACTCAGCATGTGCTGGATGTTAGCAAAGCATGTCACAGGAGGATGTCGCCATGTCTTTAATGCCAGGCATTGCACTTTGCATGAGTTGATGATTCACACCCGGTGCTAGTTGAGCGTGAATGAATATCTTGCATAGGAAAGGTGCTTCAACAAAATGTACGTGAAAGATACTGATGGCTGTCAGCCGGTAGGAAGCACGAGCGACGTCCATTGTGACGCTGCCCCTCCCCGACAGAGCAAGGTCATCCGCGTGCTGAACCTGTGGCAAAAGAACCAGGTGTTCCCCCCCGAGGTGATCCAGCCCATCTTCGACCTCGCCGACCCGGAGAGCGCGACCAGCCGCGAGATCGAGCAGCAGCTGCTGGCCAAGGAGCAGCAGCCGACGCCGGCCGCGCCGCCGTCCACGGCCGCCGGCGCCGCGGCCGGTCCGCCCGGTGACGGCCCGGCGCCGGCCGGCAGACAGGTGCGCACGCGCCGGCAGCGGGGCGCTCCCGGGCTGCCGCCGTCTGGGTGCTAAACACGAGCTGGCTGTCATGCTGTGTCCCTCCTGAGCCGTCCGCACCGGGCTGACTGTCACGAGCTGGCTCCTGAGTGGACCACCTCGATCTGTCCGACCGGTCTGGCCACTTCGGGTCAGGCGGGTCAACGGCTGGATTACTGAGCCATCCGCTCCCAGGCATCCATTCTCAGCTCGTCTGCCGACCCGGAGCTTCTGTCTTCAGACCCGGTGGGGTTTGGGCGTCATCAAACCACCTGCCAGAAACAGCTGATGTAGTGTGCTAAGTAATACAGACAAAGCAACAGCCGTCCCAATCAGAGTATGATTGTAATTTTGGTGCAGTCTTGGGGTTGTACCAGTCAAGCATCTCCAGGATCATTCAACGACCACGTGGTGGCAAAGTGCACCGGATGGTTGGTCCGCGGACAAGGAAGCATGACAAGATGGAAGATTATCCACTCCACGAGGTGGCTGCTCTCACCAACACCCAACCATGGAAGTAGACGACATGGTCAGCTCACCCCTCCGTGATATCATGCTTCCAGTTCCCGTCAGTTGTTTGTCGTGAGATGCCTCTGTGCCATTCTGTCCTCGGGTGACGGCAGCCGCAGAGGCTGTGGCGTGACGTGTCGCTGCGTCTGCTGCAGGCGGAGGGGGCGCCGGCCACTGCGCAAGTGGACCCCGGACTGATCCAGAAGCTGCACCAGCTGCAGACCCTGCTGGCCCAGCCGACAGCCACACCCGAACAGGTGTGTGGCTCCGCCGGCCCGTCCTGCCCCGTCACCCCCGCTTGGTGCACGCCTTTGGAGTGTTGGGCAGCCTCCTGGCGCCGCTCGTAAGCCGCTGCCACCAGGCCGCTCCACTCGGCGCAGACCGGCGCCGCTCGCGCCAGCTCGGCGCGCCGCGGCCGGTGTCGTCATGGCAGCCACGTATCACGAACCGTTTGCTGCATGTTGGTCATTTGTTTGAGGTACAGTGTCGGTGGGAGGTGTACACCAGATCTCAGCCGGCGTCGGATCCGCAAGGTGACCAGGCCGTCGTGCGGTCTGTCGCAGGCAGCGCCCAAGTTCAACCAGCGCCTGTTGGACGACTTCGACTACGACGAGGAGCCGGACGGCACTCCCAAGCCGGTCGAGCCGTCTCTCGAGTCGCTGGGCACGTTGCTCTCCAACCCGGACGTGCTGAAGCAGCTGCAGGTGCGCCTGCTGGCCGGCCGGGGCAGGCTGAGACGCCGGCCGGGCGGGACTGCGAGGGGGCGGGTCGCGATTGGCGGCGGGGTTACGGCGTCGCGGTGCTGTTTGGTCAGGCTTGGTGTTCCGTGCTACGCGTTCAGGCCTTCGCCGGCAAACTCCACACCCCACAGCTGTTGCTGTGGGTTGAGAGTTGACGCCTGTCGTGCGACGCCCGCCGTGGGTGCAGACTGTTGGCGTGTCGGCCCAGCCGGCTGTCGGTTCGGTGCTGCGCCCGGACGGCAGATGACCAGCCGAGTCTGGTTGAGCTGACTGGCGTCCCTGTCCGGGCCGGCAGGGTCTGCAGCAGACGCTGCAGGCGCAGAAGCAGCAGGAGCAGTCGGAGCGCGACCGCAAGTTCCGGCTGCAGGAGAACGAGTTTGACAAGCAGCTGGCTCAGACGGTCGGCGTGAGTCCACCCTGCTCCCGCGGGCGACGGCCGCCGTTCGGCCAGCAGCCTGGGCTGCCAGTCGGCCCCCGGCCGACCCGAACCGTGCGCTAGACTCGGTCTTGTTAAACGAGCTGTAGAGCTGTGGCTTTTTGGTCTTATTGCCTCTTGAAACCGGTGCATTCGTTTCGCTTCTTATCCTAGTGTCATGTGTCGTTCGGATATCGCACGGAAGGTGGACCGAGACGGAAAAGGGCCGTTGCGTCAGGTTGCGGTCCCGTTTGCAAGGTGCCTATCGATTCGTGATCCAAAGGTGATGCAAAGCCAGGTCCAGTATCCGGCGGATGTGATGTCTAACAAGAATGTCTGCATCGGCTGGTTGTCCGAGGTATAACCTTGCATGACCCCCGTGCCGTCACGTGGACGACTCCCCTGACCTCCGGGCCGGGCCCGCCGACAGAGCCTGCCGTTCGCCAGCGAGATCGAGCTGAAGCCACCATCGGCCAGCGAGCTGGCGATGATGTCGGCCATGTCGGCGCCGCTGGCGGCCACCGGCGACCGCGACATGCGGCTGGAGCTGGCGCCGGAGCTGGCGGTGCCGCCGCCGCGCCGCCCCGCCAGCCCGCTGGAGGAGGGCGAGCGCGGCCCGGACACGGACAACGACGACCGCGCCAGGTGCGACGACCGCGGGGCCCGCCCCAGCCTGCTGATGGCTGCTGGTTGCCGAACAGTGATGCGGATATCTGAGCCCTCGCTTTATATGAGCTTACTCGCTATATTTGTATGGTGATGTGCTTCAGATATCAAAGTGATGGCTGCTGCATGACCTCTCGCAGTCGACGCGCCCGTAAACTCCGAATCATCACCATCGATGTCTCAAAGGCAGCACGATGCGTGCTGTGTGTCATTGATCATAAGCCGTGCTATGGTTTTACAAACATTTTTTTTTGACATCAGCAAACTGTTCATCGCTCACCGTTTTCACAACAATTTCGTGTATTGTCACCCCTGTCAGGTGCCTCCCTGGACGACGACGGACCTGTGCCACGGCTTGTGCTCGATGTCAGGCGTCAGAGCCGGGCTGTGACGGCCCGCGTCCCCCGGGTCGAGGCTGTTACGGCGGCGATGGCCGCCTCTGACGCCCACCTCTGGCCGACAGGGACCGGGACGAGCGGGACCGGGCGCGCCGCTCCAGCCGCTCGCGGTCGCGCTCGCGGCGCCGCCGCGGCCGCTCCCGCTCCCGCAGCCGCTCCCGCTCGCGCTCGCGGGGGCGCAAGTCGCGCGGTGAGCGGCGCGACCGGTCGCGCTCGCGCGGCCGCCGCGGTCGCTCCCGCTCGCGCAGCCGGGAGCGCGAGCGCGAGCGGGAGAGAGAGCGCGAAGCCGAGCGGCTGCGCGAGAAGGAACGCGAGTCGGAGCGGGAGCGAGAGCGAGAGAGGAAGAAGCGCGGCCTGCCGGCGCTGAAGCCCGACCACCTAGGAGGTGCGGCTGCCGGCATCGGCGGGGGGGGGGGGGGGCGGCTGGTGCTCCGTGACCTCTGCGACCCTCTCAGTGGGACTGACCGAGCGAGTGTTTTACCGGAAAGCCGGCTCTGTCTCCAACGCGACCTGAGTACCCGCGCCCTGCGTCTGCGTCGAGGGGGACGGACGAGTCCACCCAATGAGCTGTGAGCCCAGCAGGCTATCCGCAGTGGCAGGTGTGTCACAGACTGGATATGACGCAGATGAACTCGCCTGTTGAGCTCGCCGGCTCTGCCTGCCAACAGTGTGCAGCACCACGCTGTGGGTGGGCCACCTCTCGAAGCTGGTGCACCAGGAGGACCTGAGTGACCTGTTTGGCGAGTACGGCGACGTGCTCAGCATCGACCTGATCCCGCCGCGCGGCTGCGCCTTCATCTGCATGAACCGGCGACAGGACGCGGCGCGCGCCCTGCTCAAGCTCAAGAACCACAAGCTGCAGGGCAAGCCCATCACGGTGGGTGCTGACGGTGGCGGCCGACCGCTCGCAGCCCATGATGCTGTGCTTATGTCCAACCCATCCGACGTCGGCGCACCCTTAAACTCCAGTCATCACCCCAAGCCAACCCGTTCACATCCACACACAGCCAGCGTCAGAAGTGTGGTGGTCAAGCAGCGCGTCTGGGGAACCAGAGGTATGCAGTTCGATTCCCTGTCTGCCATGGTGAGGGTAGGTGGCTCCACATAGCCCCAGCATCAGCAGCAGAATGCTTCGTGAAGCCCCAGTGACATGACTCCCCATCCAGCCATTAGTCAATTCCAGACGGGCAAAACACATGCAGCCTGTGCCCAGTATTCCCGCATCCAGTCCACCAGCAGGCTGTCCGCATTCAGCCCATGGGCCGCCCACGCACAGTCGGCGTCAAGCCCGGAAAACCATGCTACATGCGGCCCGCGCGCGACGCACCACAGCCCGGCGTCCGGCCGGGCCCGCCCTACCCCTGCCTGTGGGACGAGCACTGCCCGCACGCGCAGAGCGCATGCCTCGCAGCTGCCAACGGACGGCATGAGTGGACGCTGCGGTCAGTTTCAGGGAGGATCGAATTCTGCAGCGATGCATGGCTTCCTGCTACGAGGAACGATCCGTTAACAGGAGGAACTCTGATGCCGGCCGTCACGTTCCGTTGCGCGACACTGACGCGAGCACTGATTCGGCAGATCGCCTGGGCGCCGGGCAAGGGCATGAAAGGCAAGGATTTCAAGGACTACTGGGAGGTGGAGGCGGGCTGCTCGTACATTCCTCACGGCCGGCTGACCGTGATGAGCGACCTGGACGCCATGGAGGAGGGCGGCATGATCGACGACCAGTCGGTGCCCGACTGGCTCAAGGGTGAGTCCGGCGGCCGTCTCCGCCCGCGCTGGTTGACGTCACCGCCGTCGGGTCAGCGTCGCGCCTCGTCCCGGGAGCTGGCGGCCGTGTGTGGGTGACGCGAGCAATCCATGCCCCCTGTCGGTGTGTGACGCGCAGCGCGGGGCGGTTGCAGGGCGGTACCAGCAGCTGCATCAGATGGACCAGCTGCCGGTGTCGGCGGTGCCCGTGCTGGGCGACCCGATGCAGCAGCTGGCGATGCCGGCACCGGCCGGCGCCGGCACCGCGCCGTTTGTGACGCTGCCCACCAGCCTGCCGCCGCAGCAGCAGCTCATGGCGCCGTCCGAGCCGGCCGGTCAGGCCATGCAGCCCATGATGGCGTCCGTGCCGCGTGAGTGGACCGTCGCGAGGCCCGCCCTGGGGTCGATGGGGACGCCGCACGGTGTCGAGATCGCTTCCCTTCCACAAGACGTTCTGCTGTGTAACCTCTGCTTTAGTCGCAGGGTCGTCTTAAGGTCAGGTCAAACGCTTGTCCTGGTGATGTCGATGGCTGACCCTTCATGCCACTCGCCAGCTGTTCGCAACGGCGGGCTTTACTCGTGCAACTTTACGTTGCTGAGTTCGAACCTCCCAGGCATTTACATAATGGTGTTAAAGACGGCAGCGCTGTCCTGTTTTGCCCCATTGGATGTCTGGCTGGGGGGGGGGGGGGGGGGCGGTGGGCGGAGGGCGGAGGGTCAGATCCGTGGTATCGTGAGCGCGGCGCGGCCGTCTCGGACGTGCCGCGCCGGCCGCGCGTGCCATAGCCGCGCCTCCGCCCCGCTGATGCCTCACCGCCCTGCCCGCAGCGCCGGTGAGCGTGGCGCTGAACCTGGCGTTCGGCGGCGCCCGACCGCCGGGCCTGATGAGCCTGCCGCCGATGGGTCTGCCGCCGCCGGCCCTGCTGCCCACGGCCAGCAGCGTGCTCGGCCAGCCGCTGCTGTCTGCGCCACCCGGCGCCGCCCAGCCGTTGCAGCCCGGTCAGCTGATGACGTCACAAGCCGGCATGGCCGACCAGACTGCTGCAGCAGAATCAGCTGATGACGTCACAGGCGGGACAGGGGCTGCAGCAAAGCCAGCTGATGACATCACAGCCTGGCATGGCAGGGCAGGGACTACAGCAGAATCAACTGATGACGTCACAGCCCGGCATGACGGCACACGGGTTTCAGCAGAATCAGCTGATGACGTCACAGCCCGGGATGCCAGCGCAGGGTCTTCAGCAGAACCAGCTGATGACGTCACAGCCGGGGATGTCAGCACAGGGTCTTCAGCAAAGTCAGCTGATGACGTCACAGCCCGGGATGACCACGCAGGGTTTGCAGCAAAATCAGCTAATGGCTTCACAGCTGATGACTTCTTCAGGTGGGTTCTGCACAGCTAAGCCCATTCAGCATTGAGGCCAAGCCGTGTGTTTGTCCCCAAGGTGTGTTGTTACGGTCTCCGCAGTTCCCACAGATCGATATGTGGCGACAGTTGGTAGACGTGGCGGTTTATCAGCCGAGGCCCTTGTCTGTATTTTCACACCACACTGGGTGAACCCAGCGTCACCGAACCATCACTCACTTCACTGAGCTGTGTTTCCCCGCTGCGGTCACGGTCACTCCTAGCCTGCAATAGGCCATGTAGTGTAGGCCACGCTTCCACCAGCCTCCACTTGCAGTAATGGCTACGAACACTGGACCGCAACAGTCCTCCCACGGGCGTCCGCTGTGTCACCGCGATTTACGGCCGTGACTGCTTCGGATGTTCCTTTTTAAAGCCATGCTCCCCATTGCCCGGCTGGTGTCTTATGCTGGCTGTCCCGGCTCGTTACCACAGTCGACCCCCGGTAGTTGGGAGGAGGTGCCGTCCGAGCCGTCTGCGCCGCCGCCTCTCACCACGAGCCTTCCCGTCCCCAGGCGGTGCTCTCTCCTCGCTGTCGGCGCCGCCGCCGCTGACCATGTCGACGCTGTCGGCGCCTCCGCCTCTCACCATGTCGGCGCTGTCGGGCCCGCCGCCGCTGGGCCTGGGCTCGCTGCTGGGGGCGCCGCCGGGCGCCGGCCTGCTGCCGGGCGCGCTGCTGGGGCCGCCGCCGTCGGCCTCCACCACCGTCGAGCCGATGGATATCGACTCGGACGCGGCGCCGCAGGTCAACGGCCAGCCGGAGCCGGGCGCGCGCGACACCGACCGACGGTGGGTGGCCGGGGCGGCGCGGGGCGAGCGGCGGACACAGCCGCGTGGCTCTCGGCGGTGCTGGGCGCCGCGGGGGAGCGGGGGCGCCGGAAGCAGACCGGCTGTGGCGTGGACGTGTGCTGTGCTGGTCCGTGAACTCAAGTGGCGCAGTCGCCTAGATGTTGGGGCCCCATTGGTGTATGTGTTTCCTGATGTGACGAGGGGAGAGTGATTTTCATGCATTGGAGGCCATTTCAAGGCTGTTTTTCGCAGTCTGCAGGGCGGAGCGTGCTCTGTGGCCTGACCTGGCTGGGGGCCCAGCTGGGCCGCTTCTTCAGTCGACCCCCCATTCCAGAAAGTGCATCTCATTTAGGATCGTGTTCGTTGTAGCTTTTATATCCGCCCTCCCGTGTTATCCAAACAATATTTCGGTTCGCTGCAACCCACGCTGTCTAACCTCTCGCCAGTTTCAGTAGTACCATATTTTCGCGGTGCCCGCGATGCTGCCCGGTCAGTTCGCGCGAGTCCGGCATTGCCTGCGGATGTGGTGTGAGTCGTTCTGACGGCTCGTATCACCTGTGTCGGCAGGGAGGGAACGCCGCGGCGACAGAGGGCCAGTCGGTGGGGCGCCGGTCCGGAGAACGCCGCCGCCAGCAAGGACGACGGCAAGAAGGGCGATGTAAGACGCTGGGTGCCGCTGGTGCCGCTTGCCTCGCTGTCAGCTACTCAATGACCAGGAAATCGCCGAATATTTCCGAACGCGCTGTGGATGGCAGCTCGCTGCGACTTACTGGGTGGCGAACGTTGATTGACTGTGATGACCTGTGGCGGACCAGTGCCCGTCGCCCGGCGCCGTCACCACCCGTGCGGCGGTGCGTTGGCCGGCGCGCGCTCGGTGGCCGCTGGCGCCCTCTGACCACCTGGCCGGCCGGTCCGCAGGCGGAGGAGCGGCACCGCTCCCTGATGGCGCGCCTCACCAGCTTGGCCAACACCAGCGTCAGCGCGCTGCCACAGCGCGAGCGCGACCGGGAGCGAGAGCGCGAGCGCGACAGGGACCGCGAGCGCGACCGAGAACGAGACCGGGACCGAGACCGGGACCGCGGCCGCGACCGGCACCGGCGCGGCAGCCGGGACCGCGACGCCGACTCGGGCCGCCGGTACGTGCGCCGCCGGTGGGGGCCGGCCCGCCACCGCGAGCCCCGACGCAGTCTGCCGGGCGGGGCGTGCTCCGTGGCGTAGCCTAGCTGACGTCCCCAGCTGCGCCGCTCCCTACCAGCTGCCACGCTGCTCAGGCGTTTGTTCAAATGCATGACGCCTATTGGCATGGAGGCCGCCGTGCGGTTGAGATGCGGGATGCGATGTTTCAGATTCGTGTTTGACGTTTTCCTGTCGCGGCACCATGGCGTGGGTTTCGCTGTGCGTCAGCTGCACTGTGACGCCCTGCCAGATGTAAAAACATGCCGGCGCTGCTTTGTCGTCGGCGCGTGGCCGCGTGTGCCCGTGTCCGTCTCCTTTCCGGCGACCGGCTGTGCTGCCGTGTGTGTGACCGGGTTTGCTGAGGCCTGTGTCTTCCTGCAGCCGCGGCGGCCGCTGGGGCAACGATGACCGCCGCTCGCGCGACGCCGACCGCTCCAAGTCGCGCGACGCCGACCGTTCCAAGTCGCGCGAGCGCTCCCGAGAGCGCGAGCGCCGGCCGGAGAAGGCAGAACCGGCCGAGCAGCCGCCCGGTGAGTGGCGCCCCGCCCACGCGCGCGCGCGCCGGTCCGGTCATGGCGGGCCGTGGCAGCGGGGTTCGTCGCTGTGGCTGGGTTGGGATCTGCACTGTGTTAGCGGCTGACTGCCGAGCCCAAGCCGGGGTCTGGTTAAAGGCGTTGCATTTGCCTGACGGCGGGGTAGACGGAGCGTGCCCCGCTATGCAGTCGGCCAGATGTTGAAGCATGCTACGACCGGTGCCGACGCTACCGACGCCGACGTCATCGCACGTATGCCGTTCCTGTCCCGTGTGCGCGGTGTCGTTGGGCTCTGACCCGGTCTGACCAGTTCCAGCAGGGCCGCTGTCGGCCTGGACGTCGGTGGATGTGGCCGCTGACCCACCGCCGGCGGTCGTGCTCCCCGCGCCGGAGACGGAGGCGACGGACAGCGTGCCGCCGACAGAGCCGTCGGCCGACGCGGCCCCGGCCGCCGACGACCAGCAGCCGCCGGCGCCGAGCGACCAGACCCAGGCGGAGGCCGCGGCCGAGCCAACCGCGCAGCCAGTCGCCGCCGCCGCCGCCGCCGCCGAGGCGGGGTTGAAGTCGCCGCCGGGGCCGGCGGCGCCGGAGGCCGGCGGCGAGTCGACGGCGACGCCGGTGACGGCCGCCAAACCGGACGTCCCGGCAGCGGCCGAGTTCGACGGTGCTCACGGCGCGAACGACGCGTTCGACGAGCCTCCGAGGAGAGGAACCGAGTTTGACGGGCCGCCGCGTCGGCCGGGAGCAGACTTCGACGGTCCCAGACGGCCTGACTTCGACGGGCTTCCGCCACGGCCGTGCGCCGACTTCGACGGGCCGCGGCGGCGACACAGCGGTCCGACAGAGTTCGAGGGGCCTCCGCGGCGGCCGGGCCCCGAGTTTGATGGCCTGCTCCGGAGGCCAGGCCCCGAGTTTGACGGCCTGTCGCGGCGGCTGAGCGGACCCGAGTTTGACGGACCGCCGGGCGGCGGCCGCGGCTTCCCGACGCACAGGGGGCGCGGTGAGCCGCTGCTGGAGGGCCGCGGCGGGCCGGGACCGTTCGCCGGCGGCCGCGGCGGCCCCCGCTTCCCACCACTGCTGCCCGCGGGACCCGGTGAGTGCCGGCCGCCGCCACCGCGCGCCAGCTGGTCATGTCCCGTATTAGACTGTCGATTCAACACGACCTTAGATTCGGCGTGTAGGATCACTGCATATGGACGATGGTTGGTTGCTTCACGCGTTTTTTGCTGTAGTATTCTTGGTCATGCATTTGATGCTGCTGACGCTGCTACACGCGCTGCGCAAACGACCTTGTCGGCGCGCCCGAAAACCCCAATTATCATCGCACGCGCACCGCGTTTATCCTTTGACGGTGGGATCTGCGATGCTGATATTCCATGCGTGGGGCGTTTACTTCTCTGTCACTGTGCGTTTAGCATCGCTGTGTAGCGTCTGGTCTGGTCCGGCGATGTGTGACTGCCGCCGCACGGCTGATGGCGCCACTCCGTGTGCGAGCCTGGTCCGACGGCGCCGTCCGTCGCCGCAGGGCACGACCCGGAGGAGGCGTTCGAGGAGGATCGTCGTCCGCCGCTGCTGATGGACGGCTTCCGTCCGCGCGGCCCGGGCGGCATGGGGCCGCGCCGTCCGCCGCCGCCCGGCGTCATGGGTACGGCACGCGGCCGCCCGCTGCGCCGCCCGCAGCCGACCGCAGGCGGGCTGATGCTGGAACGGGACGCTGGGGTCTCTGGTTAGAATTCTTAGGGGCGGACTGCTAATCCATGTGCTGCATCCGCCCGGCCGCGCCACACTCTGTCACTGGTGTCTGTTGGTAGGAGGCGGCGGCGGGCCTTGGTCGTCCGTCCAGCGGCTGGCGTCCTGGCAGCGCTGCCGGTCCCAGCCGTGTCGGTCCGCGCCGCTTCTGACTCGTGCCCGCCCGGCGGCGCTGCCGGTCCCAGCCGTGTCGGCCCGCGCCGCTTCTGACTCGTGCCCGCCCGGCGGCGCTGCCGGTCCCAGCCGTGTCGGCCCGCGCCGCGTCTGACTCGTGCCCGCCCGGCCGGCAGGTATGCGGCTGCCCTTCCGCGGCAGAGGACCCAGGATGCGCGGCCCCGGCCCCGGCCCCGGGCCGCCACGCATGGGCATGCGCCCCCCAGGTACGCCGGCTGGCCGCGATGGCGGCGCCGGGGCCGACGGCGAGCCGGTCAGAGACCGATATGGCATTGTTGGAAAATCTAATAGGTCTTAGGATTCATCATCATCGCCATAAGACACTTGCAAAACGTATACCTTAGGTTGTAGGGGTTGTCAGTTGTGGCCCTGTATGGCCACAACTGTGACGCCGTGGGAGCGCGGAATGCGTCTCAGGCTGGCCCCGGTCAATCAAGAGGATCATCAGGGCGACACATGTGACATTCATTACGCCCACGAAAAGCGTAGTGGTGGTTAGGCAATAGAATGCTTGGGGAATGACATACCCACCCATGGAGGAGTGGGAAGGGGGCAGGGGGGCACCTTCCTCTTAAACGTTCGGGGGCAGCAGTTAGGCTAAACAACGAATTGCCCTGGCTGTGATCCACCGACATGCTGGATTACACGCGGTGCGTTCTTCGAAACGCAGCGGCTTGTCGCGCTGTATGGGTCGGGCGGAGCAGGGCTCCTATGGTAGAAAGGCTCGCATGAAATGTTTGCCATTCCAGTACGGCTCGTTTCATGATGTGGCACTGTTAATATGATTGAAAGATCCTTGTTACGGTTACTCTTAAAGGTGATGGTGATTGAAAGATGATGGTGCTGTTAAAGCGCCGCGTGGCCGTGGTTATCGGCGATTCCAACATTCAGATTACCGAGCAATTCGGTTATATGTTGCCGAGCTTGGAGCACGTCAACTGGCACAAAATAGTTAGTTGCATGAACAACTTTAAATTCGAAGAAATTGCGTACATTTACACACACCATGGTTTTCAGTCACTTGCGTCCCATGCAAACAGAACCAGTTTGAGAGTTCTCAGTCATAGATGGATGGGCGTTTATTCGGGAAATAGCCTTGAGGGTCGTGAGATGAAACGGAAGAGGAGCCAAGTGTACGGCATCGCCGTCAGATGGGCTGGGACGGCAATGGCAAGAGCAGGAGGTCACGACACACACATTCAAAATCGTCATAAATCGTTACCTGAACATCGTTATTCGGTGAGGCACCATGTTGATCGTGGGTGCGTCTTGCTTTCTTTCCTCGTCCTTCGTCTCCCCTTCCGTACTCGATTGAGGAGAATGTCGTAACTTCGTGCACTCGGAGACTTCCGTTTCGTCCTTTGATCGGTAGAAAGACAGCTGCTAATCCACAGCGCAGACCTGGGCTCGAGCGAACAGACCACTTCGAGCGAACATGAGGCGCAGTGCCGTGCATACATATCGCGATCCGGGATGTTCTTCAATTTATATTTTCAGATTATCAATCTCAGCGTTGGTTTATATTGGTGGCATAATACACTACGACGAAGGACGGGGGCAGGGATGTTATGAAAACACATGTTTCATTAAGCGTGCTATTTGCCTGTGTGGACATTGTGAAATGCCATCATCCATTTTAATGTGAGCGAGGACGCTCGCCCTTCTGCTCACCAAAAAGCGACGCTGGGCTGCAGGAATGGATGTGTGAACGATACCGACGTCTGTAAGCATTGGTCTCGTTAACATCCAACAAAACCGGGGGAATCGGCTCTAGGAGATGGTTAGTTTCTCGCAAAGTGCTCTCCTCTACGGTTCTTTTTTAAAGGAGTACATTTGGAGGTGTGCTGGAAGCTCATGAGCATTTACGCCACCTGCATACTAGTTTTTGAAAGCAGTGGGTCCCTATCTCGGTCCTTTATAATTCGTTATGCTTTCTCAAGACATTGGATCGCGTGATGTAAAAAGCTGTACATAGAACAGTTTTGGTGTGTGTCGACTTCTTTGCCGCGTATCGCCACAGCCTTTTGTTTTGCACGTTATGCTATTGTTCTGCAACTTATTGCGTTATCGTGGGAAGAGCCCATGTTGGAGCTGGGTCATCTTTTTTGACACATTTATTTGCGCTGGATGTAGTGAACCGTGACGACTGTGAAGCAGCTACTCGCCTTGGGTGGCTGAGGCTATAATTGAATAATCCTACCTACAGTGGCATTAAACCCGCCTATCTCATGACAGTGTCTTTCACTTTGCCGTTGCCGTTCAGAGAGATGTTATGTACGCCAGCTGTGTTGGGTACGTCTCCGTCTGTGGATACCCGCCCGCGGCCCGTGAGCGCCTGCTCCGCCCTCCGAGCCTCTGGGTCCGTGCTGTGACGCCCTGAGTACACGCCTGTCCGTGCCGTCGGCAGGTCCCTGGATGGA